GTGAACTTCTCTGTTCTACGTAGTAATCACATGGTAATACTGGGGAATTTGGAGGTGACAGCCCTAAATAACTGATGCACCTATGAGAATATTTTTCTAGTGTAATTTATGGTTTGTGATGACTCATGACACTTGTTCCATTCCTCCTTGTTACCAACAGTATGAATAAAAAGGAGGCTGATTGAGATTCAGGGTACAATCTATGATTACACACACACACACACACATATATAAAAAACAGCACTAACTTGCTCAAATGAACATTATAATGCCATTAATTAGCATAAAGCTCTGTTTAAATGAGTTAACGAGCTACAATATATGGTTTCATTGTGCATATGGTACAAAAGTTCTTAGTATTTCTTATTCTGTCTTTAAAATCAGAGCCAAATCAACACTGAGAAATATAAAGTCACTGTATATTCTAGAAATTTATGAAGACTGAATTAGTGACGATAAAATAGTGTTAGCATGAATAATAGCTTACCATTTTTAAGTGTTTACTATGTATAACGATCTGAGGTAAACCATAAGTAGACTATTTTTAGAGTAGTTTGAGGTTGATAGCAAAATTGAGCAGACTATGCAGAGAATTCCCACGTGCCTCCTGCCCCAGTATATGTGTGGTCTCTCCCTTTGTCTCCCTCCAAAGTGAACTTCAGGTTCACTCTTGCTGTTGCACAGTCCACAAGAGTAGACAAATGTATAAAGATGCGTATCTAGTACAGAATAGCAACTGTAAAATAAAAAAGCATGCTGATCACTGAACATTTCTTTCATTCACTTCCAGAATGAATAAAGGACGTCCACACTGGGAAAGGCAGAAAGTAAATCTGGGCACCAGTGTTGTACGCAGCAGGCTGAGCCACCATCTGGGACATCAGCACCCTGTGAGGTTGGTTGGAGTCCTTGCCGCTCCACTTCCAATCCAGCTCCCTGTTACTGCACATGGGAAACAGCACAGAATGGCTTGACTGCTTGGGCCCGTGCCATCCTTGTGAAAAACCTGGAGAGAGTCCCAGGTTCCTGACTGTCCTCGCCCAGCTCTGGACGCTTAGAGAGTGAATTGATATATGGAAGATGTCTCTCTCTCTCTCTCTCTCTCTCTCTAACTCTGCCTTTCAAATACATAAAAATATTCATAAAATAAAACTGAATTTTTAAATACAGAATATGTAAAAAACGTGAAAACATTAAATCTATTAGACACAACTTAAACTTCTAACAAATATTTTTAGGATAAAAGTCACAAAATTTTGTCCTTTGGCATAAAGGAACAAGCAATGACTGCATATAAGATGTAAGAAAAAAAACAGGTTTTATATTTTGCAGTTTTCTAACCAAAAGCCTATTTTTCTGGTAAAACAGTTTTACATGTTAAGATAATATTCATGTTTTTTAAGACATTAATCTTTATCTGCACTAGAGCTTCTAACAAAATGTATGATACTAGACAGATCCTATATAAATAATTGTGAATAACAATTATTTTTCAGAAAATGTGCAACCTTTCCTCTGAGTGACTTTAAATATATTACTCTATTAATTTAATTAATTTAAAAATGATTTATTTATTTGAAAAGCAGAATGATGGGGGGAGGGAGAATCTTCCATCTGCTAGTTCACTACCCAATGGCTGTGATGACCAAGGCTGTGCCACACTGAAGCCAGGAGTCTGGAAGTCCATCCAGATCTCCCACGTGGGTGCAGGGGCACAAACATGTGAGCCATCTTCTGAGGCTTTCTGCATTATCAGGGAGCAGGTTCAGAAGAGGAACAGCCAGGACTTGAAATGTTGCTGCAATGTGAGATGCTGGCATCACGGGTGGCTCGACCTGCCATGCCACAATGCCGGGCCCCAAGATGATGATGATTATACTGTCAAACCAAGCAGCCTGCTTCACACTGAGTGAGAGAAAGAAATGTGCACCTTGATCTTCACTGCCCCGTTATTACTTTAGGCAACATCACTTAGGTCAGCCTTGTCCAAAGCATCTCCAGCTTCCCTCTGTCGCTCCCCCTCTTCGTGGAGGAACGACACAAGACCCTGCGCTGTTCTTTCTGTCTGCTCGGCCCTCCCCGGGTTTGCTGCTGGTTCTTCCTGGGTTGGCTACTATCCCTTCCACATCCGTGGAAGGGCAGTTCCCCCTGGCCACATTCCCCACTTCCGCAGGGGAGCGGCACACCGCCGGCCGGCTTTCTCGGGGGCTGCACAGGTGTTCCTTCAGCTAGATGTTCCCCTTAGATGTTCCCGGTGCATGCCGTCTCTCTCCTCCTTTATAGTCCTCCTCCGCCAATCCCAACTCGGCTGCCCACACGCCGAGTACGCTGCTCTCCTCCAATCAGTAGCAAGTCCTACAGTTTATTGGTTGAACTGGAGGCAGCTGTGCGGAAGCTGTTTACTTCTCTCCCAGCGCCATATTGTGGGAGAGCAGATGCATAGAATAAGTCTTAATTCCAGTAACTCAGTCCAGTCCGGGCTGCTCCCCACAGATCCCCCTTTCTTTTTATTTTTTGGCGTTGATACGCGCCTGTCTTCGGTGTCCCGCGGCACACACTCTGCTCTACTTGCTAGAGTTGCCACAGGTTCTCACAAGTCCTATCAATCAGGCAAACCGAATCCGGGTCCTCTCTTCGCCATGTTGTGAGGAGGTTTTTAGGTGCTGATGCGTGCCTGTGTTCGGTGACCTGCGGCTCATACTCTGGTCGAGCCACCTGCTGGCGCTTACCGCCTTAATCAGGCAGACCGAATCCAAGCTTTCTCATTGCCGTATTGTGGGGGAGACTTATTAGTGTTGGTTCGTGCCTATCTTCGGTGACCTGCAGCTCATACTCTGGTCGAGCTGCTTGCTGGTGCTTACCGCCTTAATCAGGCAGACCGAATCCAAGCCTCCTAATTGTTGTATTGTGGGGAGGCCTTACTGATGTTAATTCGTGCCTGTCTTCGGTGACCTGCGGCGCATAAGCTGCTAGCTGCCCGCAGGTGCTCATCGCCTCACTTAATCAGGCAGACCGAATCCAAGCTTTCTCATTGCCATGTTGAGGGGAGGTCTTTCTATTTCTCTATTTCTCTATCTACGGGCATTCCTATCTCTCCCATTTTACTTCTATCTTCCAGCATTCCTATTTCTCTTTTACTTCTAAACTTCTGTTTCTCTTATCCCTGCGGCTTTCCGGCGCTGCTCCCCACACCCTCTTTCACTCGTAATTATTAATTCAGCACATTTCAATTCCTACCCACCTCTAAGGCTACCACAATTGTCTTTCCAAGACAGTGCTCAGGACCCTGCCTAAGTTCTTCTTAGCCTTATAAAGAATTTTCAGTTGCCCAACAAATCTGTTCAAATGTCTCAATATCCCATTAAAATACCACTTTATTTACTCACAATTCTTCCTCATTGGCCACAATTTCCAAAATAACTGATGATGTCTTATACATTTATTTTTGTAAAAGAAAAAAAAAAGAGAGAGAGAGAGAGAAACTTCATTTTCAGTGTTCTACCTGACAGCTTTGAGAACCCAATCTTTCTTCCCAGCTGCCTTATCTGGGGCAAGCAAGGTAGTGTCCCTGCCCAGCACTTCTCCTTCGAGGCTGGCTGCAACCCCCACACCCTACCCTGGGAAGTCCCTGCCTGGACCTGTGGCCTCTTCTCCACTGGTACTGCAGCCACTGCAAGGACCCTCACGTGGGTCTCCCTGTGCTTTGCTCTGGCCTGACTTATTCCAGAACCTGAGCCCTTCACCCTGGGAAAACCTCCTGGGGCTCACTTTGTGAGTAATAATCTGTATTTCACACCCATCGGTGCCTACTTGTCATTTGTCCTGCCATCTGTTATAAATTCCTGGAGGGAATTTATAGCAGGGAACTTTAGTCACCCAAACGAAACAGTTCCTACACATTTGTATGTCAATTAATCCAGCCTTGTCATTCCTCCTTTTTAGTTTGAAATGTTTAAAAATTGACTTTTTTTCCTTTGTGCCGAATGCAGATGCTTATCTAAAATATGCACAGTACAACATGTATATAAATGTATCCAGGAACGCAATTGCTCTCTATCTTGGTGTGGAAACTATTAATAGTCAAGGCTATCTTTGTTCTTCTGTGCTTACCACATGCCATTACTTAATAGATTCTATTTAATTTATAGGAATATGGATGCAATTAAATAGGGAAACAAGAAGTCTTACAACAATACACTTATTTTTTTCTTAAAGATTCATTTATTTATTTGAATGGCAGAGTTACAGAGAGAGGAACAGATCTTCCATTTGCTGGTTCACTCACAAAATGGCTACAATGTTCAGGGCTGTGCCAGGCTGAAGCCAGTAACTTGGAATTCCATTTCAGTATCCCACATGGGTGGCAGGGTCCCAAATACTTTGGCCAACTTTAGCTGCTTTTCCAGGCACGTTAGCAGGGAGCTGGATCAGAAGTGGCACAGCCAGTATTCAACCAGTGCTCAAATGGTATGCCAGTGTCACAGGCAGCAGCTTAACCTGTGGTGCCATAATGCTGGCCCCAACAACACATTTCTTTATAGTTTACAGAATAATATTTTACTTTTAAGCTTTGTACTTATATTTGACCATCTAATATTATACCTTTCCAATATTTATTTTCACTGGATTTGTGTTGTGTTACATCATAGTAAATGCATAAGCTTCAAGCTCCAGTCCCTTGGTTATGACACTTAGGTTCTTCTTCTTCTTCCTTCTTCCTTCTTCTTCTTCTTCCTTCTTCTTCTTCTTTCTTCTTCTTCTTCTTCTTCTTCTTCTTCTTCTTCTTCTTCTTCTTTCTTCTTCTTCTTCTTTCTTCTTTCTTCTCTCTTCTTCTTCTTCTTCTTCTTCTTCTTTTGTTTTTTTTTTTGACAGGCAGAGTGGATAGTGAGAGAGAGAGAGAGAGAAAGAGACAGAGAGAAAGGTCTTCCTTTGCTGTTGGTTCACCCTCCAATGGCCGCCATGGCCAGTGCACTGCAGCCGGCGCACTGCGCTGATCCGATGGCAGGAGCCAGTCGCGTCTTCCTGGTCTCCCATGGGGTGCAGGGCCCAAGCACTTGGGCCATCCTCCACTGCACTCCCAGGCCACAGCAGAGGGCTGGCCTGGAAGAGGGGCATCCGGGACAGAATCCGGCGCCCCGACAGGGACTAGAACCCGGTGTGCCGGCGCCGCAGGCGGAGGATTAGCCTATTGAGCCGCAGCGCCGGCAGGTTATT